TTCAGCAAAGAGCTCCAAGTGTAACCTGGAGCGCTGTCTTAGTGCTCTTCCCACTGTGCCACGTGCTGTCTAGATACCTGAAACTGGCTGAATCACAAATGGGTGGGAGATGGAGTTCAGTGCAGAGTGCTTGCCCAGCATGCACAAAGCCCTGGATTCAATCCCTAATAAGACAAAAAACAAAAGTCTTGGACCGGATAGAGCTGAGTGGTAGGAAGCTTTCCTATAATTCAGGAGGTTGAGGGCATCCAGCTGTTTCAAGGAATTTCTAGGGTTGTGTAATGACACCCCCAGGGGCCCCACCCCTTTAAAACCCTTGAGATGGCCTGTGGTCAGCCTTCAGGGAAAGTCTTGACCCAGAAAAGGGAGAATCTAGAGGGTTTTTTCCTATAGGATCTGGTGTGGGCAGGAATTCTGCCCTTTAGTCTCCCAGACACTGTAGCCTCTGCCTCAAATGGAAAAGGGACTGTCCCCTGCCCTTCTCCTCCAGTTATCTGAGATGAGAGGTTTCAGAGTCCAGCTCCTCACATTACAGGAGTACCATTTGGCTCAAGACTTGTCACACAGGGCCTCAATTTTATACTTCTGGTGTTATCGCCAAGTGCAGTTACAATCACACTGTTACTCTAGAGAACAGAGAGAAAGGGGCTTGCTGTAAAACTGACCTTTTTTTTTTTTTTTGGTGGCACTAGGTATTGAACCCAGTAGGGTCACTATACTGTTAGGCTACATCCCCAGCCCTTTTCATTTAATTCCTCTTTTATTTTATTTATATTTTGAGATGGAACCTAGCTTACAGCATGCTAGGCAAGCGCTCTGCTCACTAAGTTGCCCAGGTTGGCCTGAAACTTGTGATCCTCCTGCTTTATCCTCCTGATTCACCGGGATTATAGGCATGTGACATGACACTGGGCTTGACTTAATCTTCATTGTATAATTTTTAAATATACTCAAAAATAGAAAGAACAGTACAGTGAATCTGAGATGACTATTTTCATAGGCCTTTAAACAATAAAATGGAATGTGCAGTTTCTGTGATGGGAAACTTCCTATAAATCCTGTAATAATCTTGTGGATAGCACGATTATATTGTAACATTGTGTTAAAAAGTGTTAATGTGGGGCTAGGGTTGTGGCTTCAGTAGAAGAGTGCTTGCCTCACACTTGTGAGGCCCTGGGTTCCATCCTCAGAACCATATAAAAATAAAAATATTAAAGATATTGTTTCCATCTGAAAAAAAAAAAAGTGTTAATTTGGGCTGAGGATGTTTCTCAGTGTAGAGAACTTGGCCAGTATGAACCAGGGCCTGGGTTCAATCCCTAGCATCACACACACACAGTGTGTTAATTTCTCAAATGCAAACGTGCTTGTTTTCCTTTTTAAGTGTATCTGGAACCTCCAAAAGTAGTAGGACCTGGACTTCTCCAGCTTGCAAAGGACCTGCCTCCCAGGAAGCAGTTGCTAAGACTTTGAGACCCTTGGGCCCAGGAGTTTCGCACCCTGCTGTGCTGCAGAGGTTGGGGTGGACAGGGCTGCCTCTGGGAGCCCAGGGAAAGCTCCAGGCAGTAGCCATTCTTACACTGGTTTGCTCTAGACCCTTAGCTCCAGGTGATGGGGGTGGCTGATTCCAGGCCACCTGGGGGGCTTTTCTCTCTGCCTCTGCAGGAATTCAACTATACAGCATTTACAGTGCAGTTGGCTCCCTGGGAGGGATGGATTGGGAGCATAATCTTGGCCCTGCCTCCCCAGGCCCCAACCCAGGAACCTTTAGTTGGCTGGGAGGCCAAGAAAAGTATTTGAAGGGAGCAATTAAGCACCCTCGAAGTGCCTGCTCCAGGGTTCCGACCATTGTTTATTTAGGAGGCAGTCCTGTTAGTGACCCTAAGTCCAGGAGGACTGTGCCTGGGGCAGGCCAGCCCGGAGGTTCCCCTGGGGCAGGGCCTCTGGCCTGCCATTCTTTCAGGATTCCCACAGCGCCCAGGCTCCCCCACCCCCAGTCTCACAATGAGCTTTAGTGCAAATTTCAACTGAAACTTTTCCCTTTGTATCTCTCTGTGTCTCTCAGCCTCTCTGTCTCTACTGGTCTCTGGTTCTCTGTTGTTTCCCAACATCCTTCCTGAGCCCCTGGGGAGCAGAGTTGGGGGGCCGGGCAGTGGGAACGGGACAGCGTCCTGTTCTCACCAAGGACAATAAGGGCCGGAAAGGGCTGGAGCCAAGGTCTGGTGCAGACTCCCCCTCCCTGCCTGCCCTGGGCGCCCCAGTCCCCGCCCAGAGCCACTGGCATGACCTAAATGTCAGGCACCCTGCATACTAGTGCCAGTCCTGGGAAATTCAGCCCTACCAGGGTCGGAGAGCCTGCTTGCCCTGGTTCTCACCTTCCCATTGCCCTCCTGGAGGGTGGCATCACCTTCTGACCCAAGGACCGACTCCTGGGACACTCAGACAGGCTTCCATTCTCCAGCATGGACACCCCCCTCCCGCCCGCATTATTTACTCCCGTTTCCCGAGCTAGTAGCGGGTGCTGACGGGTGTTGTGGCCACGTGCGAGGGAGGAGGAGGAAACATCTGGTTTCCCTCTGTCCTCCAGGGGCAGGAATGCCACACTCTCCCTCAGGTCTACTGCCTCGGGGTGGAGCAGAACCCCAGGGGACCAAGGGCCAAGAGGTTAGACCTTTACTCTCTCACCTGGCTCTCCGGAAGTCCTGGTGTCCTCAGGCCCCCTTACTTAATGATAGTGATTAGGCGGTTATGATGCCCCTGCCAGGGTTAATTGGCAGGTCAGGTGTAAGCAGCCTGCAACTAGGCACCACAGAGATAGGCTGGGTGGAGAGCTGCGTTGGCGCCGACCTGCCTTGTAAATGCACCCATTCCCCAAGGAAGGGGGTCATTATTCCTGGGCCACATGCTACCCTGGTCCTACAGATTCCTTGGCACTGCCTCCTGCTCTCTGGGTCCTCTTTTTTTTTGTGGCGGGGGGTTACTGGGGATTGAACTCTGGGAACTCGACCACTGAGCCACATCCCAGCCCAATTTTGTATTTAACTTAGAGACAGGGTCTCACTGAGTTGCTTTACACCTCGTTGTTGTTGAGGCTGGCTCTGAACTCCTGATCCTCCTATCTCAGCCTCCAAGCCACTGGGATTACAGGCTGTGCCACCGCGCCCAGCACTTTGGGTCCTTCTTATCCTCTCCTATCCACAGAGGATATTGGCTGTCAGGCCCCACCCAATCCATCCCAGAGTTATGTCTACCCGGACTGGGACCTGGCCCTCTGTCCGCTGCTCCCACTCCAGGTGAGGAGAAATTCAGTTTGACAGTAAGACCTAGAACGGATCCAACCTCCTCATGGGCCCAGGGCCCATTCTGGGGAATACCCCTCCTCCCTCAGAGGCTCCTATAGATCACAACCCTTCCCACTCCTCACATCAGTGGGGGAGACGGAGCCTAGAACTGCCATCCTCTCAGGGAGGCTGCTCTCCACTGAGCTGTGTGTGTGTGTGTGTGGTACTGGGGATTGAACCCAGGGCCTTGTGCATGTGAGGCAAGCACTCTACCAACCGAGTTATCCCCAGCCCTCTCCACTGAACTCTACCTCTACTCCCAGCGGAGGGATAGAACAAGACTTCATGGTTGCCTTCCAGCCAGGCACAATGGCAAACACCTGTAATCCCAGAGGCTCAGGAGGCTGAGGCAGGAGGATCATGCCAACCTCGGCAACTTAGCAAGGACAGAAGAAACTCAGTGAGACCCTGTTTCTAAATAAAATATAAAAAAGGGCTGGGGATGTTGGTCAGTGGTAAAGCACCCCTGGATTCAATCCCTGGTAACCACCCCCTACACACACCTAAAAAAAAAAGAAGTTTCCTTCCATAGCAAGACCTCAGCACTCTCATCCCCGGTTCCTCAGGGATAACTTGCTGGGGAGGGTGTTGCTGGTCTCCAGAAGATAAACCCACAGTGCCCTCTGTCGGCATCTTGGGGAAACTGCATAGCATTCCCTCCTGGGCAGGGCATAAAGGCAAGAAGGTTCTGGGGCCCAGCACACAAATGGGAGTGGGGCAGGGTAAGGTGGCCTAAATCTTTGACCAGAATTCTTTACTTCCTTCTTCATCTTCACTGGGATTTCTTTCCAACTTAGGTACCTCCCATGTGCAGAATACTGTTCTGGAAGGGTGGAAGGGTAAGTTCTTTTATTTAACCAACTCACCAATCTTCTGCCCAGTTTCAGGCATGTGGCAAATACAAAGCTGATCAAGACAGGTGTGCACTGAAAGCCCACACCATCCAGTAGAGACACCCAAGTACCCTAAAGGTTAGGCACTCTGGACAGATTCACTCCTCATGACAGAGCAGGCAGGGCAGGACCTGAGCAGTCCCTGGCCTCATTCCATCAGAGGTTGCTTGGGGTGGAGAGCTGGATAAACAAAGCCCCACAGGGAACCCCACTACAGCACTGGCTTGAAGGGCTTTTCTCTAACTCTTCTGTTCCAAGATCTATTCCATTTCTGACAGACAGGGCTTCCTTCACTGCAGCCTCTTACCAAAGGTCACGATTGTGGATCATTCATACACTTTTCCATAATGAGACTCTCACAAGTAAAAGCCACTCCAGTATCTACCAAAGCGCCCAACCTGACAGCACTCAATAAATATTTGGCAAAAATGAAGGCTAAAGCTGAGTGCAGTGGCATACACCTGTAATCCCAGCTACTTGGGCAGCTGAGGCAGAAAGAACGCAAACTTGAAGCTGGCCTGGACTACTTAGTGATATCTTGTCTCAAAATAAAATTTTAAAAGGGCCTGGGCTGAAGCTCAGTGGTAGAGTGCTTGTCTTGCATGCATGAGACTCTGTGTTCGATTTCAGTACAGCAAAAAAGAAAAGGGGGGAAAGTTTCCCCATCCACAAGGTCTCAAGAGTAGGCGCCCATCTGTCTTTTAACATTTACATACCCAGCAGGCATTGTTAGAGGAGGCCCACAACATAGCACAGCTCACAGAGCTACAAAGAATCAACTTTATTAGACATTTGTGGTTAGTTTCTCTTCTTGCCCTTGCCGGTGACTTTGGCTGGTGTGAGGACTGGAGCTGTGGCCTGGTACAGAGTAGAGGAGATCTTGTTGATGTAGTACAGACCAACCATGGAGAAGATGAAGCTACAGCAGGGTAGAGACAGAAAGACCACAGCATCACTGGGCATGCTACCAGCCTACTGCCAGGGCAGAGTCTAGCTTCAGGGAAAGAATCCAAGTTCAGGACTGGGAAACTGGGAAAACTAAAGGAGGAAACACAGAGGGAGAGCTACATGGGGCGGGGGAAGCCAGGGTGATATACCCCTTACCCAGCTGTCAGGCACATACCAGGTGGTAACACAGACTCGGTGGATGAGGCCAGATGCAAAGAGAGCCAAAAGGAGGCAGAGGAGGACTAAGGAGACAAGAAGGGACAAAAAGAGTCAGGTGGTAGTCACAACGGAAATTCCAGGCATTTGTCCACAAAACCTAGAAATCAGAGGCCCCCTGAGTCTTGGGAAACCTGCTTGGCAGGGCGTGGCATGATGACAGTAGGAGGACTTCTAACGGTCTTCACAATGCTTAGAACACTAGCTCTGCCCCAAGCCCACTTAACTTCCTAGCTAGCCTCAGCCTGTAGAGCAAGACTTGGTCCCATTTAGGAAGGGGGTTAAGGCCTTTCCAACAGGTGCCAGCTAATGAGAATCAATTCGTTAAGCTGGCTGACTAGTGATGGAAGTTGAGGGACTTGCTCCCTGGACACAAGTTGGAAGACTGATTGTCTGGATACAGTCGTTTATTGGGGCAGGAAAGGACCTTAAGACATATGGAATAGGACAAGAGAGAAGGTGGGAGGGCAGAAAGCAATGGCAAACAGGCCCATGTGCCCAGCCAGGGAGGGCAGGGAAGCCAAAGAGGAACAAGAATCTTGCCCCGGGGGGCTGGGGATGTGGCTCAAGCGGTAGCGCGCTCGCCTAGCATGCGTGCGGCCCGGGTTCGATCCTCAGCAGCACCACATACCAACAAAGATGTTGTGTCCGCCGAGAACTGAGAAAAAATAAATAAATGTTAAAATTCTCTCTCTCTCTCTCTGTCCCCCTCTCTCTCTCAAAAAAAAAAAAAAAAAAAAAGAATCTTGCCCCCCAACAATGGTTCCTTTCAGAAATAAATGAAAATGGTACACATGGGATCAAAATGTAACAGAGAGAAGTCCTGGGACTTGGAAGGAGCTCTGGAAGCCTGCAACAGGGGTAGGTAGAGAGAGCAAGAACTAGAGGGGGGCCAAGAAATGAGGGCAACAATGACAGATCTGTCTTTTCAGATGGAGACTTCACATGAGGTTGCATCTGCTGTGAATTTCTGAACATGTGGCATTCCTTAGGTGATCTGGCCTTAATGCCTAATTTGCTTTATGAACTAAATTCCCCATAAGTAATCAAATCATCAATTCTAAATTACAGGAACAAGTAAGGATTATTCCAAACAGAAAATAATCTCAGAGTTATCCCTTCTGTCATAAAAATTTGGTGTATGTAATACTCAGGCTCCTCACAAATTCCCTCAGTAGAACTCACTAATTTGGGGTCATTTTCACATCAGAACCCCTCTGAACTTGGTCCTGCTTCCTCTTCTGGATGAATGCCAAACATCAGCCCACACTTGTCTGTGCGCCTGAAACCTTCCCTGGAAGGGGTCCTGGCTTCCAGAGTCCTTCTCTTCCAGCTGAATTCAATGTCATGAGCTAAGTTAGATGCTGAATCCAAAAGTATCTTCAGAGAGTTGAGTGAACTTCTTTCTTCTTAACCACCTTTACCTTCTAAGCACTTAGGTGTCATGTCTGGGGAGGGTCAGAGAGGAGAGGACTCAGACACTTACTCTCAGGGAAGATCTTTGCTTGGAATCCTTTGCCAAAGACCAGATTCTCCAGATTATTGAAGGCCTGCGTTGAGTTAAGGAGAAGGGAATACAACAGGGGCAGAACTGGGTGGTGACCAGGGAAGGGCACAAGTCTACGTGGCCCTCCACCCTTCCAGCCCCTAAACGCTCCTCCCCTTCCAGCGCAGGCAGGATACTGTGAGAGAGAAGACGAAAAGGCCGGAGCCCAGCAGGCCCCCCTGGATGGTGAGCCACTCGGTGGAGGCCAGCTGGCGGCTGTACATCTGCATCCCTGCGAAGAGCAGCAGGGACAGGAGAGAGGACAGAGCCAGCGAGGTGCCGGTACCCACCACTGGAAGGGATGAGGGAAGGGACCGAGTCAGGCTCCGCCCCCCTCCAGGAGTCACGGGCACCTTGGGTCGGTCCGGAGCTCCGTAGGCCGACTACTTCCCAGCACCCAGGGCTGCAGCCGCACTCCCAGCCCCCCTCATCCCGCAGCGAGCCCCAGGAACTCCTCAACCCAGGACGGCCGACCCCTCCGGTCCCGTGGAAATGCCCGCTCCCTAGAACCCGGAGCACGTCAGCTTTGACCCGAAAGGACTCGGAAAGCCGGCCCGCCCAAACTCCGACCCCCACTAGCCAGGCCGGGGGATCCCGTCGGTCCTGTTACCCATCATGCCCCTGCAGTGGGTCGGATCCGAGCCTCCGGCCAAGAAAGAGCAGAGCCGAACTGGGCGCGGTTAGTTGTGCGCATGCGTCAGCGCCCCATGCGGACTGGCTTCACCCCACCTCTTCCTCTTTCTCCCTCTCGGCGCTAGCACGCAGCGCCCTCTTCTGACAAGGAGGAAACAATGCGTCTAGGAGCATCCTCAGCCACCGCCCTGGTCCACAGCCTTCCCCTGTACCCAGTAGGTCCGCCGCCTCTCAGTACAAGCTGCACTTAGGTCTTCAAGTCATTGGGCACATGGCCTCTATCCTGTAGCCCATCAGTGTCTTCTCTGCCGTTCATTTATGTCACCTCTCGTGCATGTTCCTAAACCTACCTGCCACGCTTACTGCCTCAACATCTCCTGTGGGCTCTTGCCCAACCCAAACTGAAGCGCTCCCAACCTGGAGCTCATCTTTCTCTAAAACTAGCCTCTTGCTTTACTATGAGGAAAAATAAGAGCTAATGAAGAATTCTAACATAAGACATGCAAATACCATTCCATGTTACCCAGCCCCCCTGAACGCCTTTCCAAAACCACGTGGGGAGAACTATTTCCCACCCACCCCCCCAGCCCGACGGGCGCCGTTCAAGGCTGGTCCCTGGAGCATGCGCAGTGACACCTCACCCCCACCCCTCCCCACACCCCCACCGGGCTCCTGCATTAAGCCCGGGGTTCGCAGCCGCAGCCGGGATCAGGCACCCGGGGGCGGGCGGGCACGGTAGGGCCATGGCTGAGGGTGAGGATATGCAGACCTTCACTTCCATCATGGATGCACTGGTTCGCATCAGTGTGAGTTAAGGTGGGGTCGAGGTGAAGGGAGGGGGGCATAGAGGGGTCCGGGATAAGCCAGAACCTGGAACAGGTGGGAATCCAGGGAGATGCTGGGGTGTTGGCAGGGGGCTAAGGGATGGCAGAAAAGACTGGGAGGGTCGGGATGTAGGTATGAGGGTAATCCCGGCAGCCAGGAGGTGAGTGCCGTGGAGGCGCCGGTTTTCTGGGATGTAAGCAACGAGGAGCTGCCCGGACGCAGCGGGTGGGCTGGGGTAGCCGCCAGCAGTGCACCAGGACTGGGGCTTCAGGGGGAAAGGACTAACCTATGGGAAGGGGGCATGTGTGAGCTTGGATATTTTCCAAGAAAACTGAGGACACGTAGGGAATGAGGAAGGAGCTGCTCCAGGGTGCATCTCCCAATTTGAACCCCTCCCTGAGACCCCACCCCATCGCTCCCCACTCAGGGCTGCGCCGAGCCTGCGGTTGTCATGGCAACCCGTGCCCGGCTCTCCCAGGGGCGGTGCCAACCCTGCTCCCCCCCACCACTTCCTTCCCCCTCCCTCCCTGTCCCTCCCTCCTTTGTGTCAGCTGCGCCCCTGACCGGGATGGCTGCGAAGAGAGGGACCAAGGTGAGGCGTGGGGGGTGGGGCATAGCTTGAGGACCCCCGCCACCAAAAGGGGGAGGGATACTTCCGGTGGGGAGGGGGCGAGTAGGCGGGGCGCTTGACCCCCCCATCCTCAGCTTAGGGAAGGGGTTGAGGGCCGACCTGGTTGCGCTGCAGGAAGCGCTGAAAGTCCAAAGGGTAGGGGGCCAAGAGGAAGGGGTTGGTCTTGGGAGACTAGAGAAGATAGATGGAGAAGTGAAGGATGAAGGATGGAAGCTGGGGTGGCCGCAGGCCCGAGCCGCTGCAGGAGAGCAGGCAGTGCCTGGCTGGCGGGGAGGAGTCACGCGTGTGGAGGGGGTGCTAGAGAAGGGGGCAGGGGTCCGCATCGAGCTGCAGAATGGGCGGTGCCCTTGATATATATGCCGGGGGTGGGGGCAGGTGGCCCAGAGATGGAGGGATGGAGACAGGTGAGCTGGGCTGCCTCCCTGGGCCTCTGCAGCCCGAGTGATGGTTGTGGGGGTTGAAGCTGGGGAGGCAGGAGTTCCAACTATCCCTTCTCCGTGGAGTCTTAGCTATACGGGAGGGAAACAGGCAAGACACAGAGGGCTGGGAAGCAGTGTGAACCAGGCCAAGGCAGGTCCTGGGCAAAAGCCATAGGTAGCTTGTCTTGCCTCTTCCTGAGACTGCTGGGAATCTCTAAAGGCAGCTGAGGGCCTGCTCAGATATGCCCAACTATCCGAGCTCTGATCCAGCCTCCTGGTCCCTCCACAGACAAGCATGAAGAACATGGAGAAAGAACTGCTGTGCCCAGTGTGTCAAGAGATGTACAAGCAGCCACTGGTGCTGCCCTGTACCCACAACGTGTGCCAGGCCTGTGCTCGGGAGGTGTTGGGCCAGCAGGGCTACATAGGCCATGGTGGGGACCCGATCTCGGAGCCCACGTCTCCTGCCTCCACCCCTTCTACCCGCAGCCCCCGCCTCTCCCGCAGAACTCTCCCCAAGCCAGATCGCTTGGACCGGCTGCTTAAATCAGGTGGGGCTGGGGCCTGTGGGATGGGGGTGGGAATGTAGAGCCATCCATCAGGAAGATGGAAGGGGGTTCATCACTGGTCAGGGCTGCCTGTCTGTATTTACAGGGGTGTAGATGTTGCTTATTTGAGCTCTAGTGAGAACAGAGCTCTGGCGCAATAAAAATCTAATTTTTAAAAATTGAACAGACTTCACCCACCCCCGGTCAGCTGTAACTTACCTCCTCTACCTCCGGGTCCATCTACAGGCTTTGGGACATACCCCGGGCGGAAGAGAGGTGCTTTGCACCCCCAGGTGATCATGTTCCCATGCCCGACCTGCCAGGGTGACGTGGAGCTGGGGGAGCGGGGCCTGGCGGGGCTTTTCCGGAACCTGACCCTAGAGCGTGTGGTGGAGCGGTACCGCCAGAGTGTGAGCGTAGGAGGCGCCATCCTGTGCCAGTTGTGCAAGCCCCCACCACTAGAGGCCACCAAGGGCTGCACAGAGTGTCGTGCCACCTTCTGCAATGAGTGCTTCAAGCTCTTCCACCCCTGGGGCACCCAGAAGGCCCAGCATGAGCCCACTCTGCCCACCCTCTCCTTCCGCCCCAAGGTGAGCCAACCCTTGCAGGGCCTGGGGAGGGAGGGACAGGGTGGAGCTGAATGGATGGGGTGCCTGACATTGTGGGCTTCCAAAATGAGGTGGGCAGGGGCTTACCACTGCCAAGTTCCTTTCTCTGTAATAAAGTCATGTGAGAAAGCACTCTGCTGCATGGAGATGAGAATATGTGCCTTACAATATCCACACTGGCAGGGTTGTTGGTAGGATCACAGGAGATAATCGTTGTTCAGTACAAAGTGCTGTTTAACATTTTGTTCACTCCCTGAACAAATATTTGTTGAGCACCTAGGAGCATGATGCTATTCTAGGCATTGGGGTACAGCAGTGAACAAGATGGACAAAGATAATTACGAACCACAAGCCTTAGATTAATTATCACCATTATTATCGTTATTACCACACATCCCAAACCATAGGTGAAAGGAGCAATGCTGGTGAAAAGGCATTGCCTGGACTGCAGGAAAGGTCTGTGATGTCAGTGTGCACCACCAGATGGCACTGTGGAGCACCACCCACTGATCCTTCCCCTCTCATCTGACCAGCGGAGGGGGGCGCCCAGCTGCTCTAGTGATGGGTCAGAACCTTTACGCGCACCCTTGGCTGACTAGCTCATTGCCCTTTGTATTTCTAGGGCCTGATGTGCCCAGACCACAAGGAAGAGGTGACCCACTACTGCAAGACATGTCAACGGCTGGTATGCCAACTCTGCCGGGTGCGTCGCACCCACAGCGGGCACAAGATCACACCAGTGCTCAGCGCTTACCAGGCCCTCAAGGTGAGGACCCCTCCTTACCCAACCCCAGTGCCAACTCACACCCACATACCTCCTCCTAACTGCTGGCTTCTGCTGAGCCAGACATGATGCCCACCTCCTTCTTCCCCCTCAGGACAAGCTGACAAAGAGCCTGACATACATCCTGGGAAACCAGGACACAGTACAGACCCAGATCTGTGAGCTGGAGGAGACCGTCAGGCACACCGAGGTGAGGGAGGGCACGGGGGTGGGTCTTGGGCCCTACCCGGGAGTGGGAAGGAGAGGGGAATGTGGGTGGGCATGCCCCCATCACCTTTCTGCCAGCTCAGGAGTCTGTGAGGGGTACCTGGGCATGACATGGTTCTGGTTAAACTTGGTTGGCAGGAACTAGTGTCCCAGGGAAGGCTGTCCCTGGGACTGACTCTAGTGAGGTTGGTAAGCTGTTGCTGAGGATGAGAGTCCAGATGTCCTCGGCCTCACTCTCCTACGGAGGATGGCACACTTGCCTGGAGCTCAGTGAGGTTATGGCTCTGATCTTGTGCCAGACTGGATCAGCTGACATGGGGGGGATAGGCAATGAAGTTGGCATAGCTGCCAGTGGACATTAATTAGTGTGGTCCAAGTGGACATTAGTGTGGTCATGGTCTCTCTTATTTGAATGAATCCTTAAGGGATTGGGATTATGACGGAATTAAGGAAAAATATCTCAAACTGGTATATTGATTATTTCAAGTTGAAATTGTTTGAGGAACTGAATTGCAGAAAGGGCCATTTGGGCCAGGTGTGGTAGCTGATACCTGTAATCCCAGCAACTCAGGAGGCTGAGGCAGGAGGGTTCCAAGTTCAAGCCCAATCTCAGCGATTTAGTGAAGCACTTTCTCAAATTTAAAAAAATGGGGGGGACTGGGGGTGTAACTCAATGGTAGTGTGCTCCTGGGTTCAATCCCCAGTACCACCACCACCAAAAAAAAGAAAGGTCCATTTGGCCTGTATTTCCCTACACATTACCAGCCATAAATATTCTTTTGGAAGGAATGTGCTTCACATGCCAAGACCTGAAAATAGCCTCAATCGCCACAGACTAGTAATTGGGGCTATAACGAACCTAAATAAACAAACTATTTGAAGTAACCCTTATCTTCCTCTCCACTTATCTCTTAGCAACAGCCGTAGGATTTACTACCTCAATCCAGATATTTATTTGTTCTGTCATTCTTTACAAATATACTGGTCTGTGACTGGGGATAAATCTCAGTGGTAGAATACGTGCATAGCATATGCAAGGCGCCAGGTTCAATCCCCAGTACCCAAAATAAAAAAGAAAATGTTCTTTTTTAAATAAAAGTTTAAGAGCATCAGGCTTAGGTGATTTCTTTGGAGTTCACTGTTTTGTAAAGATCCCCAAGTACATGTAAAATTAATAAAACTCTCCAGGCACAGTGCAGTGGCACTTGCCTGTAATCCCAGCTACAAAGGAGGCTGAGGCAGGAGGAAGTTCCAGTCCAGTTTTGGCAATTTATCAAACCCTATCTCAAAATAAAAAGGACCATACCTCAGTGGTAGAGTACCTCTGGGTTCAACCCCCAGCACCACAAAAATAAATTTAAATTAATAAAACTTTTATGCTGGCTTGGCATGGTGGTGCACACCTGTAATCCCAGCAACTCGGGAGGCTAAAGCAGAAGGATCTCTCATTCAAAGGCAGCCTCAGCAAAAGCGAGGCCCCAAGCAACTCAATGAGACCTTGTCTCTAAATAAAATAGTAATAACTAAAAAAGGGGGGGGCTGGGGATGTGGATCAATGGTTAAGTGCCCTGGGGTTCAATCCCAGATTAAAGGAAAAAAAAAAAAACTTTTTTGCTTTAGCCAAGTATGGTGGCTCACACCTGTAATCCCAGCAACTCAGGAGGCTGAGGCAGGAGGAGCACAATTTCAAAGCCAACCTCAGCAACTTAGCAAGGCTCTGTCTCAAGATAAAAAATAAAAAGGGCTGGATTTGTAGCTCAGTGGTAAAGTGCCCAGTACCAAAAATAAAACAAAACAAAATACAACCTTTTTCCTGTATCAATTGAGTTCAACAAAAAAAGAGGAAGTAGATCTCTCTCTACCCTATAGTTATGATGTGGTCATCCAGGAAGGTTAGCACAAACCTTCAAAAGTTGAACCCAATGCCGGGTGCTGTGGTGCATGCCTGGAATCCCAGCTGCTGGGGAGGCTGAGGCAGGTGGATCACAGGTTCAAAGTCAGCCTTGGCAAAAGAAGGCACTAAGCAATTCAGTGAGATCCTGTCTCTAAATAGGGTTTGGGATATGACTCAGCAATTGAGAGCCTCTGAGTTCAATCCCCTGTACCAAAAAAAAAAAAAAAAAAAAGTTGAGCCCATTTGAGGGTACAGGCCTTAGCAATGAGTCTGGCCCTATTAAGTTGTGTGGGTAGGATTCCCCCAGATCCCCTGTGATCCTAGTGGTGCTGTGGTCCCAGGAGGCTGGCACAGGAAGATAGTAAGTCATGCGTCCTTTGGGTGTTGCTCCCTGGGCAGGTGAGTGGTCAGCAGGCGAAGGAGGAGGTGTCACAGCTGGTACGGGGGCTGGGGGCTGTGCTGGAGGAGAAGCGGGCATCGCTGCTTCAGGCCATTGAAGAATGTCAGCAGGAGCGGCTGACCCGTCTCAGTGCCCAGCTCCAGGAGCACCGGAGCCTGCTGGACGGCTCAGGCCTGGTGGGCTATGCCCAGGAAGTGCTTAAGGAGACAGACCAGCCTTGCTTTGTACAAGCAGCCAAACAGCTGCACAACAGGTACCGAGGGGCACGGCACAGGGCCCAGGCTTCTGGGAGGCAGGGGCCTTTGGGGGTAGCGACCTCTCAGACAGTGTCTAGAGTCCTCGCCAGGCGCAGAGCTGGCACATGGAGGGTTTTCATTAGGCCAAACTGAGGCCCGCGTATTCCAAGGGGTGAGGCCAAGGTTCTCAGGGGCAGGCAAGGCAAAATCAAGGGGAAGGGCAGCTGCCCAGACGGCAGTGCCTGACCCCTTCCTGCCCCCATCCCAGAATTGCCAGAGCCACTGAGGCCCTGCAGACGTTCAGACCAGCTGCCAGCTCCTCCTTCCGCCATTGCCAGCTGGATGTGGGGCGCGAGATGAAGCTGCTGACAGAGCTCAGCTTTCTGCGAGGTAAGGAGGTGGCCAGGCCCTTGCCCAACCAGAGCCTTCCTCCCCTCCTCCCCAGCAGCGGGCCCGGGGGGCAGTGCCCACCGGGGAGCTCCCCGGCCTCCCACCCAGCCCACCTGCCACACCGTCCCACCGCGCTCAGCGCTGCTTCTCCCTCTCTTTGTTTGTAGGCTGTGGCCACCGCGGACTCTGCTCCGGAGCACCCCAGGCAAGTCAGCGGCCCTGCCCCGGGGGCCCTGCCCCCCGCCGGGCCCCCAAACCGGCCCCTCCTGTGCTCCAAGCAGCTCAGCCCCCCACTCAGTGCTTTCTTCTTTCTGCTCTACCCGACCTCCTGGTCCTCCCACTTGGCCAGTGCGGTCTCTTTTGAGCCTTCTTTAGGCCCTGGCCCTTCTCATCTTTTGTCCTGGGACCCCTATTCTCTTCCCCTTACCCCCACACCCTGCCCTGCTGGCTGGCTTGCTTTCCCTCTGTCACCTCCTGTTTCTGTCTTGCCGATGGTGGCACCTCCGCCCCAGTCCTGCTTCCCCTCTCTGCCGCTCAGGGCCCTTTTGCCTGGGTTCCCGTGGCCTTTGTCTGCCCCCCTGGGGCTCCTCTTAATTGGGAGACTGTCTAAGCCCAAAGGAGCCCCCAGAGCTTCTCTGGTCTGACACCCTTAAGTGTCCCAGGAGGAAGCTGAGGCTCAGGAAGGGAAATTGACTCACCTGTAGTCCAGGCCTCCTGACTCCTGCCCAGTGCTCTCCCACCTCTTCTTCCTTGGGCCCTGACCTGTCCACCTGTGCCCAGTGCCCAGATGGGCTCTGTCCTCCGTTCCCTCACCCACACTCACCCCCCCGGCTCCCGCTGCTCTCCCTTTTCCTGCCTGCCCTGCCCTTCATGCCAGGCCAGTGATCAGGCCCCGACTGACCCCCCCGCTGTCTCTTCCCACAGTGCCCGAGGCACCCGTCATTGACACCCAGCGCACCTTTGCCTATGATCAGATCTTCCTGTGCTGGCGGCTGCCCCCCCACTCACCACCTGCCTGGCACTACACGGTCGAGTTCCGTCGCACTGATGTGCCTGCCCAGCCGGGCCCCGCCCGCTGGCAGCGGCGGGAGGAGGTGAGAGGCACCAGTGCTCTCCTGGAGAACCCTGACACCGGCTCTGTGTACGTGCTGCGTGTCCGGGGCTGCAACAAAGCCGGGTACGGCGAGTACAGCGAAGACGTGCACCTGCACACGCCCCCAGCACCTGGTAAGTGACAGGCGGGCGGCAGGAGTGGCAGACACAGACATCTGTGCAGGGGGCCTGGGGATGCCAGGCTTGGGTCCTCCACTGGTTCCAGGTGGACACTGTAGAGACAGTGTCATTTTTTTT